CATCAGTTTCATTAATAGGAGGACACAGAGGGTTCGGACTAGATCCTCAGTTTCGCAAGGAGAATTTATTGATACCAGATATAACCATAGAGTTACATTTTCACAGTAGCACTCACTCTGTTAATAAAAAGAAAGCTAGACTTTGCCCCTGTGCCATCACACAGTGGTTTTTTGGAGTTCTGTGTTGAAACTTGACGATTACGGCGCCATCCTTCGCCACCTTTCTTTGGATGAAACCAAAAGGGTGGAACACTAACTCATCAGCTAACACTAGTTAGTGTTCTCTCACAGACTAGCTAGGTTTATTCAAAGATTTGATGTGTACATCATACAAATACCTACTAGTGGCTGCTAGTTTGTGCTAATTACAATTAAAAACAAGATGCTGAAATATTAATTTACAGATTTACAGACTTGGATGGGCTGACCAGAACCAAAAGCCAAGTCTAGATGTGCAGCTCAATAGCTAGAAGCCCAATGAGCAACCTCAGGCGAGTTTGGCCTGTGTCAGTCTATGCTTTTGACAGGCTGTAAACATGTCTTTTTTTTCTGATGTAAACTAGGCCAACATTGGAATCCATGGGGAATTTACTCCCTTTTGGAGCCAGCCTCAATTGGCCATTTGGGAAATTGCAATTTTCCCGCCCGTACAAGATTAACTTTTAAACTGCAGACCTTGCTTGGCTCTTGGATTAGACCAATGCAAGGCAGCAGTCAACTAAAGGGGGGAAATCTTGAGATATCTCATGCTTCTAAATGCAATTTTAGCCACTTGACTGCAACAGCCTGGGCTGAAACATTTTAAAAAGTGACAGAGATGGGATTAAATTAGATTAGACATTTCAAAGCATGAGATTAGAGTGCCAGTTGAGGTGGGAACCTGAAGATCTAAACAAAAAGCAAAGATCTCAGTGCCTCAGCTGTTGCTCCATAAAAGACCTCCAATACAGCATAGGTGCCAAAACATGTTGCCCGTCACACACGAGCGCACTTCCACATGTTGTCTGGTCACTGTCTGTCTGTGCGGTGATTTTTCACAACTTTGTATTTCACTTTCAGTTGTTGTTTTGTCTTTCTTTTCTTTTCTTCCTGTATCTCTCCCTCCTCTCTCTGTAGCTGTGCGTGAGAATAGAGAAGAACCCTGGTCTCGGTTTCAGTATCTCTGGTGGCATCAGTGGCCAGGGGAACCCCTTCAAACCCTCCGACATGGTACGACCTGACCCGGCCTGCCAGCCAATCGCAGCCTCCCCGGTTTTACCTCAGAGTTGCCATGGAAACTGCTGCTTGTTACTGCAGTGTTTTCTTTCTCTGTCTGTTTGTCTGTCTGCGGGGCAACCGCTTAACGTGGTTAGCTGTGGGTGTGTTTGAGTGCATAATGTTAC